TATCTATCTATCTATCTATCTATCTATCATATCTATCATATCTATCTATCTTATCATCTACCTACTATCTACCTAACTATATATATAACTATTTATCATCTCTACATGTTTGTCTGCCTACCTACCAACCAACCTACTTTTATCTATATCTCTATCAATCGATTTATCATAATATAATATATATGTATATCTAAGAAATAATATATGTATGTATGTATGTATGTATGTACCTTATATAAAAAAAATCTGTGTCTGTCTATATGTATGGCATGTATATATGTATGTAGGTATGTATGTATCTACCTACTTACCTACCTACCTACCCACCTACCTACAGCTATGTAGGTACCTACCTACCTATTGTATCTTCCTACCTACCTGCCTGTCATCTATCTAACTATCATAATATAATATTGTATACACGTATATCTAAGAAACATGTAAGTAACAGAGATTAAAACAAAAATTTCTCTCACTCTTATGGCTGGCCTGGATGTTCTTCAATTTCAGATCCTCTACCAGAGATCTGGGAGTTTGGGGGTTCTACACAGGATCTTGGTTGTGCCGAGCAGGGCTTGGACTTGAAGACCCCCAAAGCTCCCTTCCAGCTGTATTCTAATTGACTTTAAGAGGGGTGGACTTCAACTCCCAGAATTCCCCATGGTTGGAGGTCCACCCTTCTTAAAAATGGCCCAGCTTGAGACAGACACACTGTTCCGATTCCTTCTTGGAGAAAATGACTCTCTCTTTTATTCTTTCTCCAGCTCTTACCCCTCTACCCTTTTTATCCCAACTCCTCCTCCCCAGCATGGCTCCCTATCCTTTCCTTGCCCTCCTCGTCTCCTTCCATTTCTTAGCCGTGGCCCCTTCCGAGACGCACTATCAGGAGGGAGCGAAAGTCATGCTTTACGTCAATAAAGTGGGACCTTACCACAACCCCCAAGAGACCTACCATTACTACCAGCTGCCGGTTTGCTCGCCAACTCCCATCCGCCACAAAAGCCTGACCTTGGGGGAAGTTTTGGACGGGGACCGCATGGCCGAATCCATGTACGAGATCCACTTCCGACAAAACGTGGAGAAGAAGATCCTCTGCCAGAAGAAGCTCTCCCTGGATGAGGTAAATCCATCCGTTCACCGTCACGGAGGCTCGGACCCTAGGCGGTAGATTTTCCCGCCTCTTGTTTCTATACAGGCAGTCCTTGACGTACGACCGCTGTCGAGCCCAAATCCCCGAGGCCAAGCAAGACGGTCGCTCAGGGAGGCCTTTGGCGATCTTTCTTGCTACGGCCATTAAGTGGATCGCCGCAGTCGGGAAGCGGGGAACATGGTGTGTTAAGCGAAATCTGGCTTCCCCCCGTCGCAAAAAGAGGATCGCAGCACCCTGGGACATTGCAACCGTGATAAATACAAACCATTTTTTTTTTGAACAAATTTTATTAATTTTTAAAGACATACAAAACATAGATACACAAAAATACAAAACATAAAAACATAAAAAATATCTTTTCTGAAAGTTGCTTGGTCCTGGGTTAAAACTCTTGGTACAGACACAAATTCAAATTCATATTCATTTTACATACCATTTCATATCTTATTAACATTTTCAATTTTCTATATAACTTCTCCTCTCTTTTAAATTTTCTCAATTTTATTTTATTTATCTCCTCTCAATTCGAATCATAATATTTATTATTCTTTGTCTGTTCTATTTCCAGCTATCCATTTATCTTTCTTCTTTGAAAAAAAACCTTCTCCTATACACTAAATGGAGTATGATGCCTTTATCTCTTTCCCCTATATTTATAATACTTAATATAAAACACATAACTTACATTGGGATTCTGTCTGGTACATTCTAAAATTATACTATATTATCAAAACCAATACAAATCTATTCATTAATATTAATATTTATTTATATCTTAAACATTTAACACATTACTTTTCAGTTAAATCACATACTTTTATGGGAGCACCTAATTTCCATAGTTTTTCCCCCCCCCCCCCACACATCACATATTTTAGCTCATTATTCCATTACGATGTTCCTCCTTCTTCTACTTCAAGTCTCTCATTTCAGCAAAATACAAACCATTTTTGATCACGTGACAACGGGGGCGCAGGGCGGGAAGTGCTGCAATGGTCGTAAGGGTGAAAAGCCATTCGTAAGTCACTTTTGTCGCCGACTTGTAACTTAGAACGGCCACTAAACGAACGTCGTAGGTCGAGGACTGCCTGTGTTGCTTTTCCACTTTTTTCTGTTCGAATTCTTTTGTTAATCTTAAGAAGAGGAAAGAAGGGCGAGGGGAAATGCCTTTTTAATGTTAAACCAGTCACTTACTTAGTGACCGCTCGAAGTTACGACGTGCGTTCCAAAAGCTATTGATGACCCTGTTCCAGGTGTTCTGAGTGCTGCAAACAGACAAACACACATAAACACACGCGTGACTGCCTCTCAGGCACTCGACAACTGATTCACCTTTATGGCTCATTGTAGTGTTCTGCACTTGTCTGACCCCATTTATGATGTTTTGCCCCGGGCCTCTGGCAAAAAAAAAACGCTCCTAGGAACACATTGATTCACTTAATGGTTTGCTTTATTTAACGACCACCAGAAAAAAGTTGTAAAATTGGGTCAGCTTCTGATGCCTCAAATTACAACCGTTGTGACTCACGTTGGAAATTCTGGAATCCCGTATAGTCTGAATTCGGGGATTTCCTGTAAAAATTATATTCAGTTAAATTTATAAGATACATTAGAGCTAGTTTGGTCGAATAGTTAAGGCACTATGCTAGAAACCAGGGGATGGTGAGTTCTAGATATTAAAAACTGGTTGTGTAACTTTGGGCCAAACACCAGGAGACAGTGAGCTCTAGTTCCACTTTAGGCACAAAAGCCGGGTGACTTTGGGCCAATCACTAGGAGATGATGAGTTCTAGTCCCACCTCAGGCACGAAGACAGGCTGGGTCACTTTTGGCCAATCACCAGGAGACAGGGAGTTCTAGTCCTGCCTCAAGCACGAAGGCAGGCTGGGTGATTCTGGACCAATCACCAGGAGGCAGTGAATTCAAGTCCTGCCATAGTCATGAAAGCCAGCTGGGTGACTTTGGACCAATCACTAGGAGACGGTGAGTTCTAGTCCCACTTTTGGCATGAAAGCAGCCAGGTGATGCTTTGGATGACAAGCTGGTCGGTTTACATCCTGCGGCAACCCACAGATCAACCCTTGTCGATCTGAAAAAAAGTGGATGCTGCACTTGAGTGACAAACGCTAGGAAGAAAAAAGACTATAAGCACGTGATGTTAAAACAAACATTAGAAAAGGAAGGAGAATGAGGAAGGAAGAAAAAGAGGACAATAAACAATCAGGAAGATTTTAATCGGGAAGCAAACAACCTTGTAAATCTAAATTTACTATCTTCCTCCTCTATGAAAAAACAGTAACAAGGCGGGAGATCTAAACTCTGGGAAGTAGTTAAAGCTCATGGAATGGATTTGGATAGGTAACATCTGCCATCACTACCAGTAGTTACAACTCCCATCATCCTTAAGGAGTTAAGCTGGGAGTTACAGATCAATTATTTTTGAAATATCCTATATTGCCTGCATTTTGGCTAGATGATGGAATGAAAAGCCAAAGAAAACACTAGAAATCGGGGTCTTCTCAAGTCGGCAGCTTTTGAGAGGGTTGGACTTCAACTCCCAGAATTCCTTAATAACCTAGATATTGCTGGCTTGGGAATTCTGGGAGTTGAAGTCCAACCCTCTTAAAGACGAGGTTTGAATAGGGACACTCTAGCTCGTCTGTCAGCTGTGCTTCCATTCGAAATACAAGAAAGAAAACCTTAAAAGACTCCATTAGAATAGAGAAAAGTCCTTTTTACTGGATTTGAAGTGATAGCAACGAAAGGGAAGCCAGGTCTGAGGCAAATAGGCACGGAAATCACATCTAGAAAGTTATCCCAAGTCCCCTCCCCCAGTAGTTCAAACTGGACATCCAATCTGAGGTGTGTATAATGTTATGGTGGTGTACCTCTTCAGGTGGTGTTTCAGACATCTGGTATGCCAAGATGGTTGGCCTTGGCCTTGAAAAGATAAGTGGATGCAGTTGTGCAGAAAGCAGGAAGGCGTCCCAACTCCCAACCATCATTACCCTTCCCCCCCCCAACACCAAATTCCCCCCCCCCCCCCCGTCCTTGGCAGTTGGCAATCAAGCAGTAAAAGATGTCAGAAAAAGTTATTGGAGGCTGACACAGTCTTCGATACTTTATGGCATCTCCTTTTTGGGATAAGTTTTTCCTCGTGGGCTAATCTTGAGGATTCTCCTCTAGGGTGAAAACTCTAGAGCTGTGTTTCTCAACCTTAGCGTCTTGAAGATGGGTGGACTTCAGCTCCCAGAGTTTCCCAACCAGCCATGCTAGCGGAGGAATTCTGGGAGTTGAAGTCTACCCATCTTCAAGTTCTCAAGGTTGAGAAAAGCTGCTCTACCATAGACTTAATAACCTCGCTGGCTGGGGAATTCTGGGAGTTGAAGTCCACCCCTTTTAAAGATGCTGAGGTTGAGTAGGGACACTCTAGCCCTTGTTCGGTAGTCTTTATGGCACATTCTGAACTCCACCCATCTTCAAGGTGGTCAAGGTTGAGAAACACAGCTCTACCATAGACTTAATGTAAGCTGGCTGGGGAATTCTGGGAGTTGAAGTCCACCCATCTTCAAGTCATCAAAGTTGAGGGACATTCTTCTAGATCAAGGCTCTTCAAACTTGGCAACTTTTAAGTCTTGTAAACTTCAACTCCCAGAATTCCTGAGCTAACTTGTTTGGGGGAGGAATTCTGGGAGTTGAAGTCCACAAGTCTTAAAGCTGTCAAGTCTAGATCCATTTTCTTGGTTCTTTCTCATAAATAGCTGAACTCAGAATTAAGAGAGTCGGCGGCTTCAACATCTGAAGTCCGGTGGGTCCCATTTCTGTTTTTGGTTGTGGGTTGACTTTTCCTTCCTCCGTGACAGGTAGAGCGCCTCCGCCAGGCCATCGAGGAACTCTACTACTTCGAATTTGTGGTGGACGACTTACCGCTCCGCGGCTTTGTGGGCTACATGGAGGAGAGTGGCTTCCTGCCCCACACCCACAAGATCGGGCTCTGGACCCACTTGGACTTCTACCTGGAGTGGAACGGCGACCGCATCATCTACGCCAACGTCAGCGTCCGCAATGTGAAGCCCACCAGTTTGGATGACATCCAAGGCGTGATGCCCGTCGCTTACACCTACAGCGTCCATTGGTCAGAGACCAGCGCGGAGCGCCAAGGGGAACGCCGGGGAAGTCACAGCGGGGACGATGGCTTCTTCCCTCACACCTTGGAGATCCACTGGCTCTCCATCATCAATTCCATGGTGCTGGTGTTTCTGCTGGTGGGCTTCGTGGTCGTCATCCTCATGCGGGTTCTCAAGAACGACCTGGCCCGCTACAACCTGGACGAGGAGGCCTCTTCGTCCTCCTCAGGAGATGACTTTGACCAAGGGGACAATGGGTGGAAGATCATCCACACGGACGTCTTCAGGTTCCCACCCTACCGCAGCCTCCTCTGCGCTGTGTTGGGCGTGGGCAGCCAGTTCCTGGCCTTGGGCACCGGCATCATTGTGATGGCCCTGCTAGGCATGTTCAACGTCCACCGACACGGGGCCATCAACTCTGCTGCCATTCTCCTCTACGCCCTGACTTGCTGCATCTCCGGTTATGTGTCCAGCAACTTTTATCGCCAGATCGGTGGCGAGCGATGGGTCTGGAATATACTGCTGACCACCAGCCTTTTCTCCAGTGAGGTTCCTTCCATCAACTCCGGCGCTTGGAGTGTTCATCTACCAGTTCCTTCTGGCTGGAGATCCGCTGATTTCCCCTTTTTCAAGAATAGGATAGGATTAGGATTAAAAATAGTAGTAGGAATAGAATAACAGAGTTGGAAGGGACCTTGGAGGTCTTCTAGTCCAACCCCCTGCTTAGGCAGGAAATCCTACACCATTTCAGACAAATGGTCATCCAATCTCTTTCTTAAAAACTTCCAGTATTAGTTGTTCTTAACTCTCAGGAAATTTCTCCTTAGTTCTAAGTTGCTTCTCTCCCTGAATTAGTTTCCAACCATTGTTTCTTGTCCTGCCCTCAGGTGCTTTGGAGAATAGCTTGACTCCCTCTTCTTTGTGGCAGCCCCTGAGATACTGGAACACTGCTATGATGTCACCCCCTAAGTCCTTCTTTTCGTCAGGCTAGAGACAAACCCAGTTCTAGCAACCATTCTGATCTTCGTATCATGGGGATTCTGAGTCTTAAAGATCATTAGCATGTTTGTTAAGGGGTATACAAAATTCCACCTGCTCTCTAAGAGAGCCCTGCTGGTATAAGGGTAGTAGTTCAAAGTGGAACTGCCTTTTTCTTTTATAATAAATAGAAAATACATTGCTTTTGAGAGCTAGTATGGTGTAGTGGTTAAGCTGCTGGCTTAGAAAGCCAGGAGAAAGTGAGTTCTAGTACCATCTTAGATATGAAAAACTAGCTGGAAGACTTTGAGCCAATCACCAGGAGATGGTGAGTTATAGTTCTGCCTTAGGCACGAAACCCTAAGATGGGAGTAAACTAATTTGGTGTCATGGTCAAAGTACTGGTCTAGTAACCAGGAGATGGTGAGTTCTAGTACCACCTTAGGCACGAAACCCTAAGATGGGAGTAAACTAATTTGATGTCATGGTCAAAGTAATGGTCTGGTAACCAGGAGATGGTGAGTTCTAGTACCACCTTAGGACTGAAAGCCAGCTAGGGGACTTTGGGCCAATCACCAAGAGAGTTCTAGTCTAATGTAAGACATATTTAAAGATCCATCTCATCCTGGGAACCCTTTTTTTTGAACTATTACCATCTGGCAGACAGTATAGGAGAATAAAAACAAGGACAGATAGGCTGAAAAACAGCTTCTATTCCAGGGCAGTAACTTTGTTGAATTATAGTGTCTATGGTGCAATATGAATGCAATATCAGGGGTTTTCAATTCAATTGTATAGAATGCAAAGGAGGTATGTTTTGTGTTTTATTTTTATAGTTATAACGTACACTGAAGATGGCATTTAATTTCGTTGTACGAGGTGCAACGGTAATAAAGTAAAGTAAGTGAGTAAGCCATGAAAGCTGGCTGAGTGACTTTGGACCAATTACTAGGTGACTGTTAGTTCTAGTCCTGCCCTGGGCACGAAAGCCAGCTAGGTGACTTTGAATCAAGTCCCTCCGTGCCTTAGCCTCACAGGGTTCTCGTTGTGGGGGAAATAGCAGGAGGAAGGAATATTAGGAACGTTGACCATCTTGAGTTACTTATAAACTAATAAAGGCAGGATGAAGATCTGATTGATGATGAATAGAATAGAAAGAATAGAATAGAAAGAAAAGAATAGAGTAATAGAATAGAATAAAATATAGAATAGAAAAGAATAAAATGTAGAATAGAAAAGAATAGAATGTAGAAAAGAATAGAGAATAGAAAAGAAAAAGAATAGAATGTAGAATAGAGAATAAAATAGAGAATAGAATAGAAAAAATGGAGAATAGAACATAGAATGGAACGTAGAATAAAATACTAGAGAATGTAGAATAGAATATAGAAGAGAATAAATAAAAGAAAAAAAGAATGTAGAATGCAATAATAGAATAGAATAAAAAATAAAGTAGAATAAAATTAAAATAAAATAACCGCTCTGTTTTTCTCTCTCTCCTTCCCACCTCCCTTCCCCTGATCCAGCTCCCTTCTTCCTGACCTGGAGCGTCGTGAACTCCGTGCATTGGGCAAATGGCTCCACCCAGGCCCTGCCGGTCAGCACCATCTTCCTGCTGCTGACCGTCTGGCTGCTGGTGGGCTTCCCGCTGACGGTCATCGGTGGCATCTTTGGCAAGAATCGGGCCACGCCCTTCGATGCCCCCTGTCGCACCAAGAACATCGCCCGGGAAATCCCTCCCCAGCCCTGGTACAAGTCCACAGTGGTGCATATGACCATCGGAGGGTTTCTTCCCTTCAGGTGAGAAGCATCAAGGGGAACTGGGTATGGCTAGTCCCCGATTTAATGACCCCAATTGGGAACGGAGGCTTGGTCGCCAAACGGAGGCTTGCTGTCAGGGTTCCGGCGATCGCCCTCATTAAATCATGAGCCTCCAGCCAAGCTTCAAAAGAATCCAAAAGATTTATTAGGAGCAACATGCCGGCACTGACCCCTATATGAAGCCAGCTCGGACATACATAATTCACAGTCACCTGTGACCCTGTTTCCCTCCCCGGTTGTCATAAATCAGATTCTCCAATGAAGCACGTTCGTGGGCTGGGTGTCAACAATCACGTTCTCCAATAAAGGATTTTTATGGGCAGAAGATCCGGTAGCCTAGCTACAAACTTTGTAAGATAAACGCGGAATGTACTTCTGGTTCTAAGCTGCCGTACTGCTCGTTCCAATTTCTCCCCAACGCCACTCCTTGTTTATGGCAACTCGAAAACAGGCATAGGAACGTTTTATGAGTTGACATTGCAATTGTTAAGGGAGCCATGCCTGGTTTTTACGACTTTTCTGGCCACGGTTGTTAAGCGAATTGCGGCCGTGGTGAAGCGAGTCGCACAAATCCAGGTTTCCCCCCATTGGCCTTGGTTGTCGGAAGGTCGCAAATGGGGATCACGTGACCCTCGGAAGCTGCGCTCGTCGCAAAATGCACACAACGGTTGCCGAGGGCCCAAATTTTGATCATGTGGGTGCTGCCCGTGCAGGCATTGGTCACTGCAAGTCACTTCTTTCAAGGCCATTATAACTTCGGCCGCTAAATGTAAGTTGTAAGTTGAAGACTACCTGTATCGCTCTGCTCCTACACCTTAACTTCCGTCTCTCCCTGGGTCCCAAGGATGGAACGGGGGGGGGGGGGGGTTCGCCCCCCCCCCCCCCCCCCCGTCTGTTGCTATTTCTCATTAGTGTGTAGTTAGAGCAGTGATCCCTTCCTCGTTTTAGAGCTGCGTTTCTCATCCTTGGCAGCTTGAAGATGTGTGTGGACTGCAACTCCCAGAATTCCCCAGCCAGACTTGCAATCGAAGGAAGAAAGGAAGGAAGGAAGGAAGGAAGGAAGGAAGGAAGGAAGGAAGGAAGGAAGGAAGGAAGGAGAAAGAAGGGGAGGGAGGGAGGGAGGAGAAAGAAAAAATGAAGGAGAGGGAGAAGGAAAGAGGGAGGGAGGAAGGAAAAAGGAAGCACAAGAAGGGGAAGAAAGGAAAGGAAGGAAGCAGAGAGTAAAAGGAAAGGAAGAAAAAAGGAAAGAAAAAGAGGGAGAAGGAAAGCAAAGGAAAGAGGAAGGAAGGAAGATGGAGAGAAAGGAAAGGAGAGAGGAGGAGGATACAGAAAGGGGAAAGAGAAGAAGGAAAGAGAAGGAAGGAAGGAAAGGGGGAAGGAAAAAAGAAAGAAAAAGAGGAAGAAGTTAAGCAAAAGAAGGATGGAGGGAGGGCGGAAGGAAAAAGGAAGGAAGGAAAGATAGAGAAGGGGAAGGAAGGGAGGAAAGGAGGAAGGAAAAGGAGAAAGAAAGGAAAAAGGAATGAGGGAGGAAAGAGAAAGAAGGGGAAGGAAAGAAAAAGGAAGAAAGAAGAGGGAGAACGAAAGCAAAGGAAAGGAAGGAAGGAAGAGAGGGAGAGAAAGGAAAGGAAGGCGAGGGAAAGAATAGAGAAAGGGGAAGGAAAGAAGGAAGAAAGAGGGAGCAAGGAGAGGAAGGTAGGAAAGAAGGAAGGGAAGGGTGGAAGAAGGGAAGGGAAGGAGGGAGGGGAAGGAAGGAAGGAAAGAAGGCTGTCACACCAGGATTATGAAGTTGGGATGTCATGGCGGATCATGAACCCTGGCTGAGGAATTCTGGGGGTTGAAGTCCACACACCTTCAAGCTGCCAAGTTTATTAACAAACGCCATTTTGGACATGCAGAAGGATGCCCTCCTGGGTTGGTTAAGCAGGCGCCAAGCTCACCTCTCACCCAGTCCCTTCTTTTCCCTCACAGTGCGATTTCGGTGGAACTCTACTACATCTTCGCCACCGTCTGGGGCCGGGAGCAGTATACCCTGTACGGCATCCTCTTCTTTGTCTTTGCCATCCTGCTGAGTGTCGGGGCCTGCATCTCCATCGCCCTCACCTACTTCCAGCTCTCAGGCGAGGACTACCGCTGGTGGTGGCGCTCCATCTTGAGTGCGGGCTCCACCGGCCTCTTCATCTTCCTCTACTCCGTCTTCTACTACACCCGCCGCTCCAACATGTCCGGCATGGTGCAGACGGTAGAGTTTTTCGGCTACTCGCTGCTGACGGGCTTCGTTTTCTTCCTCATGCTGGGCACCATCTCCTTCTTCGCTTCTCTGAAGTTCATCCGTTATATCTACGTCAACCTGAAGATGGACTGAGCAGCCGCGCTCCGTGGCTCCTCGTGGCTCGGGTGGATGTGATCGCGCCACAGTCCCCACACTTTTCCAGCTGGCATCTCCACCGAGCTCCGGAAAAAAAACAACCCAAACACATAGGCTATTTATGATTCGTTCCTTTCTCGGCTGACATTTGGGGGGGGGCGTCCCCGCTTTCTGTTGTGGCCCTCGGTCAGTGGCCGCCAAAACGGGACAGGCAGCAACAGCCTTACTTTCTCTCCTGCTGGTCAGGACAAGTCGCCAATCGGCGATCCTCCGAGAAGTCTAGCCAATCAAATAACCTTCCGCTACCAGATTCCCCCGTTAACCTTTTTAAAGTGAAAACTGCCTTCTTGCATTGAATTGAATCGTTGATTCCCCCCCCGCCCCCCGGCAATTGGTAGAAATGGAAATATTTCGAGATATTTCATTTTTTCCCGGCTGACTATCTGACCAGCTCAACGGATAGAAGCCACAACTGGTTCACACACACATCCCTAGATATTTTTATTATTATTTTTCCCTGCTGACTGAATGATCAATTGGATAGAAACTACATTTAGTTCAACACCTATTCCTAGATATTTTAATTATTCTTCCCCGTTGATTATCAGATAAAAACTACCTTTTGTTCAATACACATTTCTAAATATTTTATTATTTTCCCCCCTGTTGACTGTATCATCAGTTCAACGGATAGAAGCTACAGGTGATTCGATACACATTTCTAGATATTTTACTTTTTTTTTTTCCTGTTGATTATTCAACGGATGGGAGCTACAACTGGTTCACGCACTTATTTCTAAGTTTTTTTTTTTTTTTTCATTTCCCCCCCCATTATCTAATGAGTTCAATGGATAAAAGCTACATTTGGTTCAACACATATATCCCTAGATTTTATAATTTTTTTCACTGCTGATTATCTGATCATTTCGTCCGGTACACATTTCTAAATATTTTCTAAATTTAGAATATTTCTAAATTATTCCTTTCCCTGATGATTGTATCATCAGTTCAACAGATAGGCTGCAATAGGTTCAACCCACATTTCTAGATATTTTATTTATGTTTTCCTTGTTGATTTTATAATCAGTTCAACAGGTAAAAACCTACATTCAGTTCAACACACATTCTTTCTTTCTAATGCATTCCCTCTCTTCCCAGACCATTCAGAAAATGTGAAAATGTTTTTATTTCATTTTCCCCCTTTTTTTCAGAGTTCTTGTTCGGTTTCAGGTAGAGATCCCAGCCAACCATAAACAGGCATTTTCAAACCTGACCTGGCATAGAGAGGGAAGGATCAATAGGCTGATCTCAAACAGGTCAAACTAGATCCCAATAGCCAAGCAACAGGTTTGAAGTGCGGGATTCAGGAGAATTTGGGGCAGTTCTAACCCTTAGGGGAGTTTTTCCAGGCTGGTATCGTCCAGAATATTTCAAGTTTCATACCATTTAGGATGGATGGGAATTGTAGTCGGAGAACAACAGAGATTTCCTTCCACCAGGTACTGTTTTGGCAAACAGAAATAAAAACAACTGTCTCACATCAGAGAAAGTTGGGAGCTTCCATAAAAATTGGAAACTGCATCCAAATTGTAATTATCTAATGACTCCTACCAGTCTCATCGGTGACCCTTAATAAATAAATAATAAATAAATAAAACCATTTATTCCATGCAACTTTTGAAGGATCACCGATGAGACCGGTAGAAGTAATCGGATAATTATCTTCAGGGATCTATACAAAGGACTTGAGGCAATATTTTTCAAATTTGGCAACAGTAAGACGTGTGGGACTTCAACTCCCAGAATTCCCCAGCCTGCTTGCTGCCTGGGGAATTCTGGGAATTGAAGTCCACACATCTTACCGTTCCCAAGTTTGGAAAAAACTAGTGGATTTCTGCTGTTGAATGTGATCCCCTGGTAAATTATCTAATTTGTCCTCAATCCAGAAAATCTTTGTCCCGCCAAGCTGTTTTCCTTCCTCTACCTCCCCTCCTTTGTACAATAGTCACCAGTCCCAGCACAGGTGAGAGAAATCCTCCTGTCTCTTCCCCACCTAGTTGAAGAAAATATATATTATATTAAGGAAAAAAAAGTATATATAAGGAATTATGTATATTAGCAAGGGTCGAAGTTGGATTATTTTTTAATTTGACGTCTCGGTTTTGAGTTTCTTTTTACAGATTCTTGAAGTTCAATTTTATTAATAAAAAGGAAATGGAAAAATCCAGGTGTTTGTGTCGATTCTGGAGTATATTCTCTGGGCTGCTCTGTCCTATCTTCTGCCCTTCACGCAATAGTTATTGGTGTTATTGGTGCTTCTTAAACCAGCGGTCGCCAACTGGTGGGCCGTGAGAAAATTTTGGTGGGCTGCAGAGAAATTTCACCCCCTAAGCACCCTCCCAAAGCAATTAATCCAGGCTGCGCAGAAACAAGGATGTGCCACCCACATGGCTCACGGGAAGCCTCCCTGCCCACTCAACTCCTTACCCGGCAAACTTGCCTGCTAAATTGCTATTTTTCCGACCATCGTCTGTTCTGCTGTGCCGGGAGATTTAGATTAGCTAGGAAGCAGGAAATGGTTGGAGTTCTTGCTTTCTAGGTAGTCTTTAGATCTTTGGCTCTGCTTTTAAGCACAGCCAAACCTCTGTGGAAAGGAAACTTCACGAGGACAGTGGTGTCACCTAAGCAGGAAAAGCCCAAAGGGAACATCAAGCCAGCCATAAAACAAACTTGCATAGGAAAAGAAATCAAATAAAAGGTATTAAAGAGGCCCCTTAGACGAAAGCCCAAATAATTAAGAAAACTAGGGAAACAAGAAAAGAAAGCCCTTACAAACACAAGACATGCCAAATCAGCAAAACAAAAAGACAAAAGACACAAAATATATTGCAAAGGAGACAGACGGGAGATTGCCACAAAACAAATATAAGAAAACATTAGGACGAAACTGATAATCCAATCAAACCACCCCGCGGAGTTTACCCTCCGGCGGAAATGAAGACAACCCCTGACAGGATTTAAAACATTAAGAAATACAAACACAAGCACTCACACACAAAAGGAGAAAAAAAGTATAAAAATCAGGGGCTTATCATACAAAGCTAGCTAGCCCCAGGAACGCAGACTTCTTGCTATCTCTCGCCTTCCTGAAAATAAAAAGATCCAGCTTTCAAGCAGTTGTCTGTATCCTTGCACCGGAGCTCTTCCAGCAGGAAAATCGAATCCTCAGAAGAAAGGCATTTTGACAGCCTTTCAACACCTCCCTTAGGACTGAAGGTTCTGTTATTCAGCGCAGACTCATGGCAAGCAAATTTTATGTGACAGACTGAGCTAGCCGATGGCAGATAGATAGATCTCTGAATGATTCTGTGAGCAACTCAATCTGCCTGCCTGCTTTGCCTGATTTTGGGTAAAAGTTGCTCTTTTTTTATAAAAAAAATAAATATTTATATAAATATTTATAATATTTACATACAAGTCATGCCCAGCCAGTCACATGATCACCAAGCCACATCCACAAATTAGGCCATGCCCACAGAACCGGTTAGTGGTCCCTGGGATTTAAAATTGAGTTTGGTGGTCCCAGAGGAATGCCTATCTGTCTTAAAATCACGGGTGATAAATGCTGCTTATTTAGGTAGTCCTCGACATATGGCCACAATTGAGCCCAACATTTCTGTGGCTAAGCAAAACGGTTCTTCAGGGAGCCTTGCCCCATTTTACGACCTTTCTTGCTGCCGTCGCTAAGGGAATCACTGTGGCTGTTAGGCTAGTAAGATGGTTGCTCAGTGAACCTGGCTTCCCCATTGGCTTTGCTTGCCAGAAAGTCTCAAAAAGGGGATCACGCGATCTCAGGATGCTGTGGCTGCCATAAGTATGAATCAGTTGCCAAGCGTCTGAATTTGGATCATATGACCATGCTGAACCAGTCGTAAGTGTGAAAAACAATCATGAGCCACAACGTTTTCAACACTGTTATAACTTTGATCGTCCCTAAAACGAATGGTTGGTTGTAAGTGGAGGAAGGAAAGTAAGCAGTGGGGTGCCACAAGGTTCCATCTTAAGCCCAGGACTCTTCAATGTCTTCATAAATGACTGAGATGAGGGAATAGAAGGGGAACTTACCAAATTTGCAGATGATACTAAGCTGGCAGGAATAGATAACACCCAAGAAGATAGGCTCAAGATCCAGATGGATCTTGACAGACTAGAACACCGGGCCCTCTAACAAAATGAAATTCAGTGTAGGGAAAAGTCAAGTCTTACACTTAGGCAAGAAAAACCAAAAGTACACAAACAGATTGTGTGAAACCAGGCTCAATAGCAGTAACTGTGAGAGGGATCTTGGAGTCTTAGTGGACAACCAGCTAAATATGAGCCAGCAGTGTGCAGCGGCAGCCAAAAAAGCCAATGCAATCCTAAGCTGCATTGACAGAGGGATACAATCGAGATCAAGGGAAGTACTAATACCACTCTATAAAGCCTTAGTAAGGCCACACCTACATACCTGCATCCAGTACTCCTTTGGTCACCCCACTATAAAAAAGATGTTGAAACTTAGAAAGAGTGCAGCAGAGAAGAGCAACCAGAATGATTAGGGGACTGGAGACTAAAACATACAGAGAACGGTTGCAGGAACTGGGCCTGGCTAGTCTAGTGAAGAGAAGGACCAGGGGAGACAGGAGAGCAGCCTTCCAATATTTGAGGGGCTGCCCCAGAGATGAGGAAGGGGTCAAGCTATTTTCCAAGGCACCTGAAGGACAGACAAGGAATAATGGATGGAAACTGAACCAGGAGAGATTCAACCTGGAAATAAGGAGACATTTTCTGACAGTGAGAACCATCCACCGATGGAACGGAAGTTGCCTTCTGAAGTTGTGGGAGCTTCATCCCTGGAGGCTTCCAAGAAGAGACTGGACTGCCATTTGTCAGAAATGGTGTAAGGTCTCCTGCTTGGGCAGGGGGTTGGACTAGATGACCTGCAAGGTCCCTTCCAATTCTGTTAATCTGTAATCTGTTTCTGTAGGATCAGTGCCTAAGAAGAGCTTAATCATAATTATGCAGGACATTAAACATTTGGTTACCACGTTTGTCTCCCCCTTAACAGACAAGCCAAGCGCTTCTTTACAAAACTGAAACCTTCACAGTTGCAACTGCCAACAGTTCCCCCCTGCCCCCCCAATCCAGGCTTGTAAAGAAACCGCCTGATCCGAAGGCTCAGTAGAACTTGCATGCCCAGCTGCAGTCTGCCTGGATCCCTTTCGTCAAGGGGGGAAAAAAGCCCTCAGGTGGAAAATGAAAATTATCCGGCCCACTCCCTCAACGTAGGGATTTATTTATTTTTTTGCAAATTTGTAGACGGGCATTTGCATGATGGTGCAATATGGAAATTGCACACTTTGAATCTTTGGATGAAATAAAATTGGGCTCATCCGTCCACCCAGCCAAAGAGGAAAGGCGGTGTTGGGTGCCCTTACCTTCTCTGACAAGAAAAACAGATGCCACTGAACATGTGCAGAGCGTTTTCCCTGCCTCCTCAGGGAGCCTGGCTGGGTGGATTGGATGGTTGCAGTGAGTCCTTATTGGGCCTCCAACCCCATAAAAAGAGGCAAGACACAGATGGAAAAAAAACAATGGCTAACAACCTGCCTTCCATCGAGGACCTGTATATTGCACGAATAAAATAGAGGGCTGTGAAAATATTTATAGATCCCTCACATCCTGGACATAAACTGTTTCGACTCCTTCCCTCAAAACGACGCTATAGAGCACTGCACACCAGAACAACTAGACACAAGGACAGTTTTTTCCCCAATGCCATCACTCTGCTAAACAAATAATTCCCTCAACACTGTCCAACTATTTACAAAGTCTGCACTACTATTACTATTAATCTTCTCATCACTCCTTATCAGCCACCCGCTCCCACTTATGACTTTATGACTGTAACTTTGTCGCTTGTATCTTAACAATTTATATTGACTGTTTCCTAGTATGATTTGATTGCTTATTGTACCCTATGACTATCATTACCGTAAGTATTGTACGTTATGATTCTTGAATCTTAACGAATGTACCTTTTCTTTTATGTACACTGAAAGCATTTGCACCAAGACAAATTGCTTGTGTGTCCAATCACACTTGGCCAATGAAGAATTCTATTCTATTCTATTCTATTTCTATTCTATTATTTTCTATTCTAATTCTTTATTGTCTATTCCTTTCTCTATTCTATTCTATTCTATTCTATTCTATTCTATTCTATTCTATTCTATTCTATTCTGAATCTTATTCTATTCTATTTCTATTCTATTCTATTATTTTCCATTCTAATTCTAATTCTATATTTTATTATCTATTCCTTTCTCTATTCTATTCTATTCTGAATCTTATTCTATTCTATTTCTATTCTATTATTTTCTATTCTAATTCTATATTTTATTATCTATTCCTTTCTCTATTCTATTCTATTCTATTCTGAATCTTATTCTATTGTATTTATTATTTTCTATTCTAATTCTATATTATCTATTCCTTTCGCTATTCTAATTCTCTTCTCTTCTCTTCTCTTCTCTTCTCTTCTCTTCTCTTCTCTTCCCTTCCCTTCCCTTCCCTTCCCTTCCCTTCCCTTCCCTTCTCTTCTCTTCTCTTCTCTTCTCTTCTATGTATCTAAGGGAGAATCAGATGCCACTGAATGTGCAGAGTGTTTTCCCTGACTGGCCTCCCCATGGAGCTTAGCCAGGTGGATTGTGTGGTCGCAGGGAGTCCTCATCGGGCTCATCCTCCCGAAGACAAAGATGTATACCCCTCTCAAAGGGCAAAAAAGCAGGTGCCTCTGAACACGTGCAGAGTGCTTTCCCTGCCTGGCCTCCTTCCCAGGGTGCGTTGGGTGGTTGCAGTGAGTCTTCATTGGGCTCATCCTCCAGCCCCATAAAAGAGGAAAGGCACAGATATATACCCCTATCTAAGAGAGAATCAGATGCCGCTGAGTATGTGCAGAGCGCTTTCTCTGATTGACCTCCCGAGGAAACTTAGCCGGGTGGATTGGGAGGCTGCAGTGAGTGAGTCCTCATTGGCCTCATCCTCCAGCCCCATAAAAGAGGAAAGACATAGATGTATTTAAGGGAGAATCAAATGCCTCTGAACATGTGCAAAGTATTTTCCAGGATTGGCCTCCCTTCCCAGGGTGGGTTATTTATTTATTTATTTATTTATTT